GCGACTCATTATGACGCGAAACAGCGGTATTCCTGCTGCTGCTGCTGCTGCTGCTGCTGCTGCACCAGCTGATGCTGCTGCTGCTGCTGCTTGTATGCTGCTGCTGCTGCTGCTGCTGCTGTGAGCTGTGTGTTGCTGCAGCTGCTGCTTCTGCTGTCTACCAGCCACTGCATTTGTTAGCAGCAGCAAAACGGCTAGCGAGCTGCTGCTGTCATCTTGAGGAATTGCTGCTGTTGTTGCAGCTGCTGCTGCAGCTGCTGCTCCTCTTGCTGCTGCTGCTGCCGCTGCTGCTGCTGCTGCTGCAGCTGCAGCCGAAGCTGCTGCTGTCTGCTGAACGCCAAGGAAGTGTAGGGGGCCCCCCGTCAGCAGCAGAGGCCCCCAGGTGTGCTGCTGCAGCAGGAGCTGCTAGTTGCTGCTGCAGCAGAGCTGCTGCTGCTGCAGCAGAAGAGCTGCCTAGACAGCTGGGGCCCCCGCGTCTTGTTATCTGCAGCAGCACAGCAGCAGCAGCAGCAGCAAGGCCATTGAAGACACCGAAAGCTGCTGCTGTTTGCTGCTGCGAGCGACGAGAGGAAAATCAGCAGAGTTTGAGGTGTATGTACACCCCAGTTGTTGATGCATGCAGAAGGCAGCAGCAGCAGCAGCAGCAGCAGCAGCAGCAGCAGCAACACCGGTCAACGAGCGCTGGTGCTGCTGCTACTGCTGCTGCTGCTGTTGCTGCTGTTGCTGCAGCTACTAATTCTCTGCTTGTATTTGTATATTTTTCTGTTTAATGGTTTATTAATTTGTTTAATTTATTTATTTATTTTTATTTATTTTTTTTATTTTATTTTATTTAGTTCGCTACCAGCTGCTCTGGGGCCCCCCTCTTCTGCTGCTGCTGGCGGCAGCAGCTACCCCCCAGGTACACACCCGAGCAGCTGCACGTAGAGACAAACAAAGAAACGCATTTTATTTTTTTATTTTTTTATATGAAGCTGTATTTATTATAATTTCGCTTAAACAAAGTAACTCAGTATACACTGAGCAGCAGCAGCAAACAAACACAGCACGGGCACAGCAGCAGCAGCAGCAGCAGCAGCAGCAGCAGCTGTTGCTG